TTCTTCAATACCAAAATTGAATTATCATATTCAAATTTTAAAATTGCATGCTTTTGAGGAAAGAAATTAATTAAATCATGGTTATGAAAGCATGACTTTTAAAATGTATCCATTAGAAAAAGCTAATAATATAAGAAAATTTCCTTATATATTTAATTTGATTCAAACTAGGGGATACAAGATTAGGCAAAGATATACATGTTACAGAAGATTCTCTGAAATGTCCAGTGATGGATTTAAAGTATGCAAACAGCTATATTTTATGTCTATTTTTTTTTTATTACACTGAGTTTGAACAGATGGAAATAAAGAGATTTGACTACCCATTTAAAGCTGGTTTGGCTGTCTAATTATAATTTCTCTATTAAGTATAAATGAAATGCCTTGGATCTTTTTCTTTCTCTCTCTCCTTCCCTACTCCCACTACATTTATTTACTCTTTTTCTTCCTTGGGTTCAGTAACATAGAAACAAAACTATATTTGGGAGGGGAGGACAATGACAAATGGATGAAAAACTAGCTTCTTGTCTTTTGGTGGTTACTATGGCAATAATCTTGATGGGAGATTTTCAGTCGGAAGTGGTTTCTATAACAACATGTTAGGGTGCCTTCAAAATAGACCTGAGGTAAATAGATTCTTTAAGGGTCTCTTAACTCCTTTTACACCACAGGATTAGTATCCTCTGGAGGACCAGTGTTAGTAGGTATATTTGATGGAAGCATTAAAAATACAGCTTTTTTTTTGGTAAAGATTAAACGTTTACTTATCCTATAAAGACATGGAGCTATCTGATAGGATCTTGGGCTCCTTCGCTTTAGGAAATAATCAATAGCAGCCTTACTCTATGCCTGGAAAATAAAATTCTTAAAGCTAGTTCTTTCATAATATTTCCTCCAATGTGAAAAACAGTAAATATTCTTCACAATGACATCTATTAACTTTCTCATAGATCACCCTAAGGCTAGCGAAACCTTCTAAGCTCCCATATTATACCTGGTGTGTTCACTAAACGGTGGTGATCTTTCTGTTCTAGCAAACGAAGTCTGAATACTCATCCGTTGCTTTGCTCCTGAGTGTACTTCAAAAAGGCCTAGTGTCCATTTGATTTATAATTCATTAGGTATTATACAAGGAAGTTTATTGAAATTGCTCTGAATTTATTAAATTGTTAGAATGAAAAAATTATATCTATAAGAATAGGAAGTCTACTATATAATGCATCATTATTCAGCAGCACTGGTAAGGGAAAGATCAGTGGGAATGTATGACACACAGAGGAGGTGGTGGAAGGCTGGATTTTTTTTGAGAGAAAAAAGATGGAAAGTTTAGATTATTATACAATCAGTTACATTTAGAGAGATAGGGAGAAAGCTTGCTTGGTCCCATTTAATCATGAATTATTAATTAGCTTCTCTATGCTGGATACTGGAGGTATGTATAATGATAAATAATACATGAGGTTTATTTTAAAAACTAAATTATGTCAAGTAAAATACTTTGTGGTATTATACAAAATACTTATTAAATTTGCTTATTAAATTAATTGATTGGAAATTAATGAATTTTTGCTTGGGTTCATCCTTCTTTTTCCCTCACTTACCCTTAAAGTATTTTCAGTACAAAAGTATAACCATTCCCTACGGAAAGAGATATTATGGACCAATCAGAGGAAGTATGATTTCATCAAAGACACAGTATCTTACATCTTCATTTTCATGTTATTTCAACAATAGAGCTATCTTTATACTTTATGACTTTTCTATTCAGTTAAGCTGCCAATTCTAAATATGAGACATTCTCTTTCAACTCTCAGAAGAATGTCAGCAACCATGCATCTCCCTCTGAGTTTTCCAGCAGTGCTGTGGTATTCTCATTTCATTGGTGTTTTGTGCTCAGTAATGAATTCTGAGAATTCATTATGCATGCACTTGCCGCAGACTTCTGAGGCAGAGTTTGCCAAATGGGTCCCTGGGAGATCAAGACCCATTCTCCATGAGAGTCAGGGGCCTGTGCAGATGAGCTGAGGCATGTCTGTGGGCACCAATGCCCTGCTTAGAACAGCTTGTGCCAGAACACACTGGGCAGGGAGCCATTCATAAACTCTTCAAAATCTTATCCCGACCAAAGGCACAGTGGCATTGTACTTGCTGTGCTCTGTGCCATAGGGCACTGAGTGAATAAAAAGAAAATGAAATATATTCATGATGGCTTCCAAGTTATCCAGTAACCACAGTAACCTGGGTTTTCCCCAAATTTGGCCCTCCACCTAGAGTGACCTGACTTCTCTTTCTGTTCAAGTGCGATGAGCCACAAAGTGAGCAGAACAAATTTCCCTGGAGTAAGACTAACTCATCAGCGAAGCAAACAAGCATCATATACTTTTTGCACAATTCAGGGGATAATAATTCAGTGTGATCAGAACTGAATACACAGAACACAAATGAAGACACACTGAGCATTTTATACACACACACACACATACATTGTTATTCCTGAGCTTAAAGGGTTCATTTGCTCACTGTAAAGACAAGTCTTCAGATCTTCAGATATGAAACAGAACAAACTAGGAAGTACAAAGGAAGTATGAAATTACCAATGACAAGATCTGTGCCTCTTCAGGTCAGGAGAGCCAAGAATGCAAAGTTATAGGAAACACTATGAAGAAAGGAATATCTGGCTCTGGGCTTCGAAGGATGTTCACAATTTGAAAATTCACTGTAATGAGTAAACTCTTTTTTTTTTCTTTTTTAAAGATTTATTTATTTGTGCATACAGAACTGGGGTACAGGCCAGAGGCTCAGGGGTGGCGAAAGGCTTCATCAGAGAGCGGGGAACAGAACAGGCAGATCGACGAAGTACACTGTTGAGGGGAGCAGCAGGCGGGTCAGGAGAGGTCTGCCACACCATGTGGTCACCTCCCAGGCAGGCGGGATCGAACTCATCCGGAAGCGGCTTTAGATTCTCAGTGCTGTTTTAACCCGCTGCGCCACCAGGGAGGGCCTGTAATAAGTAAACTCTTAAGAAGAAACTCCTTTGAAATGTTTTCATTCACTGAAATAATGTGACCATTATAATCCTCTCATTAAAAAGAGATAATTAAATCTTAGAGGATTAATATTTTAGTCATCGGTATAACCACACAATTCTTCCAGTTCATTGTTCCCTTCACAAATTCATGAGAAAACTGTCAAGAACTACACCACCCAATGTAATAGTCACCAAGTCACATGTGGCATTTGAGCATCAGAAAGAGGCTGGCTGGGATTGCTCATGTGCTATATATAAACATAAAATAGAGATGTCAAAGACTTTGTATTAAGAAAAGTAAATATCTCATTAATTTTGATGCTAGTTACATACATAAAAGAGAAATTTCAATTATAGCTGGTTAAGTGAAATACACTATTCAAGTTGGTTTTACCTGTTTGCATTTACTTTTCTCTGTTTAATTTACAATTTACTAGACTTAACATCACACACATGACTCACATTGCACTTGTATTAAACAACAGCATCATTGTAGATGTTTGTTATTTAAACTATAGTCCATGGGCGAGCATCATCAGCAGCAGCACCTCTGGGAGCTTATTACAATTGTCAAATTTCAGTTCTCACCCCAGTCCTGCTGAAACCAAGTCAGCAATTTGATGAGGTCTTCAGTGGTTCATATGAACAATAAAGTTTGGGCAGTGCTGACCTAGATGCTCAATGTTTCTTTTTAATGGTCCTAATTTCTTTTTCATGTAGACTTTTTCAAAAATGTTTTGAAGTCCTCTTGACACGCTAGTCTTCCTGAACCCCAATTCTTTATAAAAATGAATGTATTGGGTCCTCCCTGGTGGCGCAGCGGGTTAAAGCACTACACTAAGAAACTAAAGCCACCTCCGCATGAGTTCGATCCCCGCCTGCCCCGGAGGCGACCACATGGCGTGGCAGACCTCTCCTGACCCGCCCGCTGCTCCCCTCAGCAGTGTACTTCGTCGAACTGCCTGTTCTGCTCCCCGCTCTGTCTCTGGTGAATCCTCTCTGGTGAATCCTCTCACCCTCCGCATCTCTGGCCTGTACCCCAGTTCTGTACGAATAAATAAATAAAATCTTTAAAAAAAAAAAAAGAATGTATTACCTACAATGCTATATTTTTTATAGTGACTAAATAAGACATTAAGAGTTATTCTCTTGCCCAAGAGCCAACACACTGGAGGCATATTATACCAACAACAAAATTTCAAAAATTAGGTTACTCTAATTTTAAAAATTGTAATAGTCTGAATTACTTTGGTGTACAGTAGGATAGGCTAAATTTTGAGTAGCTGCTTTCATTTATTTTACCAATGGCTTATTTTTCTTTAATTATGTACAATATACTTAATAATCTAATAAAATCTAATGGAAACTGCTAAAACTTCTAACTCCCCCTTTTAACACATAAGTGCTGTGTAGCAAAATTATTTTGCATAATAGTTTTATAATTGATGATGAAATTGTAGCTATTGATTTGTAAACATTTTTTTAAATGATGGGTTTATAGAGTGGCAACAAAACTTTTATCTCTTTTTCCCCTCATTTAAAACACTTTTAGCTTTACTGTGGGAATTTTAATTTGCTGCATGTAAAGGAGCAAATAAATGTAAGTCTATTTCATAAGAAAAAGGGATCACTTAACAGTCTCATTATTAAAGTACACATGGATGATAATAAAGTCAGAGACTCCAGCCCTGATTAAACTTAATCAAAGGAAAACAATAAGATCCTCATTATAATTTTCAATGGCTGACATTTAATAAAAATAACCTTTACCAATTTGCATTATTTAGTCATGTTTTAAGGATGACAAAGGGCAGGGTTTCTTCTAAGAGGTTTGTGCGATTGCAGCCAGAGCGAGGATGTACTTGGTCTATGTCCTTAACCCTGGCACAGAGATCTGACCTATTCTAGACCCTGTGCTTAATTTTCCCTCTCCTGGGAAAATTTTGAGAGGAGAAGAAATTTGGAGGAACAGATGCCTGATTTCATCTTTGATGATGCTGATGATCAGAACTATAAATCAAAACACTTGGCAAAACGTGAGTTCTATACAGGGGATTTACAATGTGTTTGCAAGTCTCTCCATGAGGCCACTGAGCCTCTGTGAGAAGATAATAGAAAAGGGAAGTTCAGAGTGAATTAACTTCAATCACAATCTTCTCAACTGGAGTCAGAAAGCTGTTTCAGAGTTTGCACGCAAGTCATCTGAGGGAAATATGCAGTTGGTGATGTTCTATTCCTGCCTGTATTATTAGGTATATCTTATTAGAGGATATGTGCTAATAATAAATTTGCATGCTTCCTAGAACTTCAATACTCCAAAACTCTCTTCAGACATCATATAATCTAATTTTCATCAGATTTATTAATGTATTAAATCTAAACCTGCATTTATTGAGCAACAACTGTGAGTGGCAAACAGTTTCTAGTCAATTGAAGAATGCTAAGTTATGCATGTTTTGGATTCCACATTGAAAGGCAAATAACATTGACTAAATAAATACTTCATTTCAGATTTTTACAAGGAACTTTATGGATGCCACCTTCTACACCCCTCATAATAAAAATAACAACAATAACAGTGGCTGGTGATGTTCACTCTATGTCAAGCACTATTAGGCATTTTACATATGACTAACTTCATCTCCTCAGTAAACTTTAAGGTATAGATATTGTTTTTGCAGGAATAGAAACTGGGGCACAGAGTTGTTAAATATCTTAATAAAATTCATAGGAAATGGCAGGGCAAGGATATAAACCTAGACTACAAAGCCTGTCTTGTTACGTCCTGTGCTTCTTGCCATCTCCTATGGAAATGAGGAAACTGCAGTGCAAAGAAAAAGATCTTACTAAAATTAGAGACAGCAAATAACAGAACTAAAATATAAATATGACTAGCATTCATTGCCATTATATTAAATTGTCTTTAATTTAAGACTAAGTTAGTAGAAGTAACTACATATAAGACAATGAAAGCTAGTTTTTTAGAAGTCAAAAGAATGCCAAAAAAAAAAAAAGGAATGATTTTAAAGAGCTCATCTACTTCTTAACTACTCACTGAGGATCCTATCATACAGTACATCAGTGTAGGCAATTTACCTGAAGATTTGCTCTGCTTGATTTTATCAAAAGAAGCAAAAGAACTTCAGAGCAAGGCTTAAATGAGAATTCAGGTTTTCTTGCTCGCTCATTCATTATTCAACACATTTCTATTGACTACCTACCACATGCAAGCCATTCTAGCTGCATCCTGAATAAAGATCTGCCCCTCTGCACACATTTCTCCTCCTTCTTCCCTGCCCTAGCCCTGGAATAAAATAACATTTTCTGCAGAATGCCAGGTGAGACAAAATTCAAGAAACCACTCTCCTCTTAAATTCCCAAAGTAACTCATTGTATGTATAATTTGAAACCTGGAACAGCCTTCAAATATTTGCCATTTAAAATCCAAACTATGACAGAATTTGTTAAGTGCTTCAATAAAATACACAGGTTCATCCAATTGCAAAATTACTGAATAAAATTGAGAAGACAGGAAATCTTGAGCGATGATTATTTTTTTCTTTAACAAACGAATTAAATCTTCTTTATTAAGTGAGTGGGTATTTCTACTTAAAGAAATTATTAATAGCTTTTGAAATATAGTTTAAGAAGATATAGAAACCTGTATTAAATTCTAAAAATATGGCGGTGGGATATAGTGACATGCCTCTGAGGGAATGTGATCCTATGCCTTTCAATCACATAGGTTTTGTAAACCAATGTTAGCTCAATAAAAATAAAGTAAAATGAAAATAACAAAAATATCAATAATACATGCAAAACTTCTATGTACAGACACATAGTTTGTTATTTTAGAGCAAAAATGCTTAATAAAATAAAAGCCACTTACTAGCAAAGGTTTATAAATTCAACTATAGGAAGAGATAGTTTACATGAAAGAATGGCAGAAATGATGTTGCTGGGAATGTCAAATTTTATGGTTAAATGCATCTTAAAGGTAGAATTAAAATAGAAAAACTTGCCTTTGCATGTTTCAAAAATGTCTCATACTGCAACTAACACATCCTTTTCCCATTCTGGGCAGTAACTCTCATCCCCAAGTCCATACTCCTATTTTAGTAGTCTGGGGGAAAAGCACAGCCAAATACAAGACTTGGAATAATGAGGCCAAACAGTGTGTACTTCAGGGAATACATTGGCAAGTTTGATCTTGTGAAATATGAGGCTTATTAAAAATTGCTGTTTTAATCCAGGTATGAGCAATAACCACAGTTCCACCTATCTTTCCTCCCTTCTTTATGCTGACAGAAGATATATTTGATTCCTAAAGTTAGTATTAATCAAGATGAGGTAAAGATGGTAAAAGGGTAATATTTGGAGAATTTAGGTTAAAAATAAAAGTGATATTGTGATAAAA